CCTTTTTGGCCCTGTCATGCAATACGTCGGCCGCCCTAAGTGAAGGCAGGCTCGACGAGGGCCTGAGGGCCCCTATTTCGGCCACAACGCAACTGGGGAAAATTCAGGCAGTTGCGCAGCGCCAGTTGGTTGAGAGCACCCAGGCTCAGGCCGCCTGTTTGCATGTATGGAAGGCAGGCCCTGGGCTGGATACGGGATATGGGCCAAGCACAGGCCGAGGGCAGTTGGGCACAAGTAACCACCACAGGCCCTGGGCCTGATTCGTTTGGACTGGGCCTCCGCCTACCGGGACCTGCCGGAAGCTTCTTTGGAAAGGCCCAGCACAGCCAGGCTGCACGCACGCAGGCTGGCCATTTCCATATAGGAAAGGGCCAGCCCACGCTAGAGGCATTCGGGCACTGGCTGCTTTGTGCACAAGCGCTGCCGCGCTATCGCCTGCCAGGCTCACGCGCTCACGGGCGAGCTGGAAGGAGCAGGCAGCCATAGCCAAGCTGCGCTGCTGTATGCTGGATGGGGCGCATGGTGGTCCTTGGGTGCAAGTGGCATCTGTGAGTTGGGGAACGAGGTTGTGAGTGATACGAGAGACATACCTGGTGCTTGAATCGTGCGGCATTGGCCGAGATCTGCTCGTACTTCGGGGAGCTGTTGACGGCATCAGCGGCATTGTAGTCTAGGCTAGATAGGATCTGCCATTCGTAGTCTGGGCGCCAAGCGCCCGATAGGATATCAACATTGGTTCAACATTGGTTCTTTGTTGATGATGATGATGGGACTATTCCAGCATTGTCAATTATGAGCTTTTTGTGTGCTCTTATTTGGTGGAACTCGTGATGCAATTCTGCTTTTGGTTCGAGGTCACGACTATCTGGTCTCATGTGTATGATGCTGTTTGATTGCTGAAGTTCGCTATTGCTCATCTTCCTTGCAATTTGGCCCTTGCAGGGCCGGACCACCCGGGCAAACAAGGTCACCTGGGCGGCCCGGCTGGTAGCCTAGTAATTTTCTGATTTTTTTGAAAAATTGAAATTAGCAAGAATTCAAATAAAACGTACGTACGTTGTATTCAAAAACAATTTGAAAACAACGTACGTACGTTATATTCGACCGTACGTTCTATTTGGGGGGAAAATCAGCGATTTCGGAAAACCCATTTTCTCTAGGTAAGTTGAGTAAGAACGTACGGACTACGTATGTTTTTTTCGGGTTAAGACAGTAGTGCCGTTTCTATTCTGATCAGTTTTAAAAATATTTAACATAATAATATATTAATAATAAAAATCATTAAAAAATGCAGATTCCCTGACACTGTTCTGATAGTCATGACTCAAAGACTCCAAAGAGCCAAACGATTTTTTTTTTATTTTTATTTTTTTTAAATCTGAGAGGTAATCATATCAAGCATGTGCGGGGTGTGAATTCTCAAACAGTCACCTGATAGAAAAGCCAGCTTTGCTATTCGTCCAGCCGTCGTTTGTGTATGACCAGGTGCAGACAAAAAACAAGTAACAGACAAGCCAAAGTCCACAGCAAGGGGAAAAAAGAAAAAGCCACATGTCATATGTGATCATTCTTTTCTCGTTTTGCTTCAATTTGACATTTTTTCAAGTTTTAGATAATTTTAAGAAATTTTAAAACTTGTCCTTCGGGACATCAGTTAAAATTGGAATGGAGAAGATTAGCATGGGCATGCGCAAGAAAAAAAAGTTAAAAGATAAAAAGAAAAAAAAAGATGAAGTTTCAAAAATGTTATTTAACATTGCAGTCCCACATGTCAATTTGACAGTTTTAGGACCAGGCTGGACGGGTGATATGTTCATGCTGACGAAGAACGAACATGACCAAGATCTTGACCACGTTCATGCTCTCACACGGCACGGACATCGCACCCGTGGGGCCTGACACATTCATTGTAAACGATTAATCACCACTGCAACCACCATATTTCAAATGCGTCGCTGCACGTCCGCGGCCAGCCGTGGGGAGCGCTGGAGTATTGTATCAGCCGTGAGTCGTCAGCAACTTTTCGCAGATTTTTTTTTAATTTTTTTTTTGGGATTGTGCCAACTTTGAGGAGTTTTCACACTGAGGCTTTTTGACAAAAAAAGCCTGAAATTTTTCAGGGATACAGATGAAGCACTGATCTTTTTCGGAAAATATATATATAATTATAATATATCGTCACAAATAGAACTGCCCGGTAAACCGTAGGCAGAGAGAGAGAAGAGGACAACAAACGAGGGGCTGTGACAAACTGTTAATTATATATATATATTAAAAAAAAAAAAAAAAACAATTCTGCAAATGCAAACAAAATTTCCTTTTTTTTTTTTTGTTTGAGATGGACTTCCAGCATCCATATTATGTATTTGATACTCAACACTTCGCTGGATGTATCTGACCATGATCCCAGCCACACATTCAAGCAGAAACGAAGTGATGCACCAATTCATGCAGACGCAAAGGACAGCAATCAAAGAACAAAATGCCGCCTCCAATTTTGTGTACGGTTACAAGTAACTTACTATGGTACCATTCGGGCATTACTCATACTCGGATGTTTCCGAATGTATCTGTCAGTGATTGCAGTCAAATACATGCAGGCAAGTCCATAAACACAGAATCATCCGCCTGCAAAAGCACTTCCTCCTACGGTCCTACCCTCTACAAAAAACCAAAACAAAAAACAAAAATTGAAAAAAAAAAAAAAACATTTTTTTTTACAACCGCAATTTTTTTCTATAATTATAAAGTTAATATAAACCATACTTGCAACCGCACGAGCCGCACATTCGTGCGGAGTTCCGTGTGGGTGGTGCCTGTGCGGAAACATGCAGGTTTTTTATTTTTATTATTATTTTTTTTTGTTTTTTTGGGAGGGGGGACGGGGGGGCGTATGACAGGAAGATAGGGATATGGCGAGGAGAGCGGGATATGGAGAGGAGGAGGAGGATGTGGACGAGGAGGACGACAAGGAGGAGTCCTCGAGATGGGGGAGGAGAAGAGATGGACGGAGGGAAAAGAGGAAGGGCAGGAGGAGGAGGATGAGTGGGAGGAGGAGGAGGAGACATGGACGGCGAGGAAGGGGAGGACACGAGGAAGGGCAGGAGACAAGGAGGCATGGAAGATGCGGAAGGGCAGGAGGAGGACGAACAGGAGGAGACGAAAAGGAGAAGGGAGGAGGAGACATGCGAGGAGGAGGAAGGGGAGGAGGAGCAAGGGGAGGCAGCACTCCTGTAAAAAAAAAAATTCATCCCGATTATAATTTTGGTGGGGGGCCTCAAACGCACCGTTTTGACCCCCGGCCTTCTTGTTTTTTTTTTCTGAGGGGGGTGACGGGTCGTTCCCCGCACACGTCGTGCGCCGCACGGGATCGGTTGGGCGCGTGCGCCACGCACGTACGGAACCTTCCGCACGGCGTGCGCTTGCAAGTATGTTATAAACTTATGAAGTGCTATGATGAAACGGTAATCACCAGTTCGCAGTAGCGAATGCAGATCCCAGGGCTCGATCCCTAGTTCCCTATCTTACCTGTGTACAGTATTGATGTCAACCCGTAGACTTGAACCCGCGACCTGTAGGATCGCCAGTGGTAGGCAGGGTTTCGTAGGTCACAGCTTAGAAGGGAATCAAACTGTAGACCTGTAGGGTAGGAGTCTAGACAGTTCCAAAGTCGTAGCTGTAGGATGCCTGAAGAGTCAAGGTCGTAGCTGCTACTTACCTGAAAGGGCAAAGTCGTAGCTGCTGCAGTACCGARAGGCCAAGTTCGAGACTTCTAGAAGTGGCCTTTCGGAGTTGGCCTGTGTTMAGCAGAGGCAAGTGGTCAAGTGGTGGTAGTCCACCTAGCCCAGTCAGCAGTCCCAGTTAGTCAGTCCGGTCCTGTTCAGCAAGTACCGTCTGGGACTGTGTGCACATCGTGGGCCAAGGGATACAGGGCAGACCAACGCAGCGCAGAAGTATAAATCAAGAGGCTGCGTCCAGCCATTCATTCATTCCTGCGGATGCCATGCGGAAGCGCTGCCCCAGCAGCTTGTGCGAGGAGGTCTGCAGTGCGCCCGAAGACGAAGAGGGCAGTGAAGTGTAGTGTAGCGATAGGATAGTGGCAGCCATAGCTGCCATAGCCGTAGTAGAGTGTGTGTGTGTGTGTGTTGCGTGTAGAGTGTTGCGTGTGGGACATCCAGGGCGATCCAGAGTGCGAACAGTGAGTTGTGTGGGCGCTCAGTCGCCATAGCCAGTTGAAGAGAACTCCTACCTGGTTACGAGATCTTGAGTACTGTGTGGGCGCATGTCGCCAGTTTGCTGTTTCGCTGTTTGCATGCATGACAAGAGTGAAGAAGGCGAGTCTGATTGCAATGATAGGATTTTGTAGCCTGTATATATTTATAATATCCTCATTTCGCTTTTTCGGAGTTTTTCCCTTTCCATTCTTTTGGTCAATTTGACAATTCTGAATTTTGAATTTTCTAATTTTTTGCGCATTCAAATTTTTTGGTCAGTTTTTTCAACAAGAAAAGAAAAGCATGCAGTCTTGTAAACACCCCTTTCACCTCTCTTGGTTTGTTTGTTTTTTTTTTTTTTTGTCTTTTTTCCCCCCCTTCCTTTTACTGTTTTTTTGAAGTTTTTTCTTTGCATTTCTAATCATGCACAAAGTGTCACAAACCCTACAGAGCCTATGGACCACTCACAAACCCTATGGAGCATTATGGGCCTCGCTCCACTACCAAACATTCTGGATGCATTTAGACGCCTTTGTAGACCATGTGCGTTTGGAGTGGTTGAACATTTTGAATGTATCCGGACAATTCTGAGCTCCAGATACATTCAGAGTGTTGACCAGTAGATCGTGGCCGTATGTCTAGAAAAAAACTCCCCAACCTCCGAGAACATGATTAATAAGACGGCAATCACTCACACACAAAAAAATAGTGAAAAAAAAAAAGACAACAAAGAAAAAAAAAACTGAACCTGAAAAACAAGTTAACAACATGGTTTGCAGTTCTGCCATGCATCGACAATCCACCATAACCGCAGAGCACATTCCAGTCCTCCTAACTCCAGCCCCGGCCGGACTACCACCAGCGACTGTGGGATTCCCAGCACCCCTATCCCATTTTCTATTCGCTTCAGCATGCTCCTCAATATACAGAGAATTCCCCCCACCCCCCCCCCAAAAAAAACAGCCCTACCCGGAAAGTGAATTAAAGTCTCGTTACTCATTACTAGTAATTAGTGAGGGGGGGGAGGGGGGGGTTGGGGGGGGGGGAGAAACTAGTGAAAAAGAAGTGTCTTTTAAAGTCTGACTGTCCCTGGCAACAGCAAGAAAGTCCAAGGGGGAAAAAAAAAAACAGTTCCAGGAAGTCATGCAGAACCTAACCATGCGAATTTCTAAAACAAAACAAATATATACATATATATCGTCATTATATATATCGTCACAAACAGTATATATCGTCACAAATAGAACTGCCCGGTAAACCGTAAACAGTATATATATATATCGTCATATATATATCGTCACAAATAGAACTGGCCGGTAAACCGTAGGCAGAGAGGGAGAAGAGGACAACAAACGAGGGGCTGTGACAAACTGTTTCGTCGGAGTTTCACCGACTCATCAGGAGGCTGAACCCTATATATCGTCACAAACATACATATCGTCACAAATAGAAGATATATATCTATTTGACGATATATATATCCAAGGGGGAAAAAAAAAACAGTTCCGGCAAAAAAGAAGTATCTTTTAAAGTCTGACTGTCCCTGGCAACAGCAAGAAAACCCAAATCAGGACAACAGGACGCCAGGAAGCAAAACAACGGTCATTAACATGAGAGCAGGTAGCCATCTATTCTCTCCATCCCAGTGGCGGAGGAAGACCTAAGCAAAGGAAAGAAGAGAGGGAGGGAGGGAAGGAGGGAGGGAGGGGCTGGAAGGAAGATGGGACGAAAGGGAGGGAGAGAGAGAGGGAGTAGCTTGTTAGCATGATACGCAATGACGACAGAGGAGGATGTAGGGCGAGATGAGGGAGAGAGAAAGGAGGGAGAGGGAGTGGACGGAGAGGGTAGGGAGGGAGAAGGAGACGAGTGAGGCTGGGAGGAGAGGAGAGACAAGAGAGAGAGGAGGAAGAGGAGGACGAGGCAGAGAAGACAGAGGAGGGAGAGGAGGCAGAGAAGGAAGAGGAGGGAAAGGAGGGAGAGGAGGGAGAGGAGGAAGACGGAGTCGTGTGTTGATTTAATCTGGTAAGAAAAGAAAGAAATCCAGACTCACAAAGCGAATTCGCAACGAGGAGGGGATTCTTGTTCGCCAGAGCTGCAAGCTTTGCAAGCGCATGCCGAGCGCCCACTGGGTCATGGCAACCAATCCTGAATGGAAAGCAAGCCATTTTTTGTGACAACAACAAAGTACAAAAGTAAGTGCATTCATTCCTCTAGCACGTGAAGAGAGCCGTTTTCTTTTCTTCTTTTTTTTTTAATTACCAATAATAATTGGACCATTTCTCGATTCATGTGTGTCATCCTTGCACAGGGGCGAAGCTAATCTCTAATCTTCCTTCTCTGTACCGTTCCAATTGCAACGGATGTCCTTGAGGACAGAGAGAGAGCCGTTTTCTGATTTTTCTTTTTTTTTTTTACTGAGTTTTTGGCAAGATGCAAAAAATTAAGATCCTTTTTAGGCTTCCCCCCCCCCATACCATGACCAGCATCGGGATATCGATGCACTCTTATGCTGCGCATTGATTCTCTCTCAAGGCATAGTCACAGTAGGACTTCTTTGAAAATGAGCTCTCAACGTAATTGCGCCCAGATACATCCAGTTCAGGCCCTGATTGCAGTCAGATACATCCAGAACAGGAAAAGTCTTAGCGTGACGAGGGCCTCAGACCAATCATCAGTTCAATTCCTTGCAGGATCAATCCAAAGTGCTGCGACAAAAACCAGTAGGGAAGAGTTATAAAACTTCCCCCCGACGAAACCAAACCTTTGTATTTGTTTCCCCCCAAATGGGGGCAAAAAATGTCGCAGCCCCCAAATTGACTTTTGGCATCATTTTTTTGCACCCTGCAAAACACTTTTCCGCCATTTTTGCACAGCGGGCGTCACCGCCCAAGCCAGGGTGCAAAATTGACACGCAAAGTCTTTTTGGGGCCTGCAACACTTTTTGCCCCCTTTGGGAGGAAACGAATACAAAGGTTTCGTCGCGGGAAGGTTTTATAACTTTTTTTCCCAAACCAGCAGAAGAGCATAAGAAGACATTTAGTAGTGCATTACCAGAAACAGGGGACGGCAAGTTTGAAAAACCGTGAAGCCTGAAAAAACGTGAAAAACGAGCTGCAAGTTTTGAAAAACTTGCAGAAAAAACTAACTTCCTTAAACTGCAGCAGAAGAACTAACTTCCCTAAACTGCAGAAAAACTAACTAGTAACTGCCCTAAAACCAAGTGAAAAAGTTTTTTAAAAACTGCAGAAAAACTAACTGCACTCTCCAACTTGATGCAGAAAAACTAACTGCCCTAAAAGCTGTGTTATAAACCGGGCCGCCTGGGCCCCATTGTTTGAACAGGCCGCTCGGCCGGGGAAGGAGCAGGGAAGTTTTTTTTTTTTTTTTTTTTTGGAATAGTCCAGGTTGTCGTAGAGGCTGAAGACTAGGCGTATGACAATCGCCTTTCAGCAGTCGGCCCTATGGAGTCACCTTGTGGGACCACCTCCCTCTCTACCTCGCAACAATTCTATAGGGCTCTCAATACTCACCCCTGGAGCGGACTACCCTAGAGTAGCACAAGAGGCCAGTCAGTGTTGTTGTTGTTGTTGTTGTT